CCAGCTTTAGTAAAAGAGAGTTTCATTACTTATTGTATATAGTTTGGCAATATGGATTGTTTCGTGATTCCTTCAGCAGTGTCATTACTGACAGTATTAGGAATATTTCAGTTAAGTAAAATGTCGTTGCAAAAGCTATTACATTTTGTAGAAATCAAGGTCATAACTTACGTTTTGTATGCTCAAAATTTGTGGTACTGATCTAGTAGCAGTGTTTTCATGTCATCTTTAATAAAAAAAAAACAACAAAAAGACTCTAAATCTAGCATTTTTAAAATCCTTCTGCAACCCTATCATAACTTTTCTTTCAACCTTATTTGGTTTTCCTGACCACAGAAAACCGAATAAAATATTTTAAATGTGTTTAATCTTATCCACAGGCGGATTTGGCAGAACTGTAAGTGACTGAATTAGAGGTAGAGCTAGTGATTTAATAACAGTAATATTTCCCATTTAAGTTTAATCTCCATATACCAAGGATAAAGAAGGCTCTACTTTTTTACCTTAAAAATTAACAAGCGTTTTATTTTCATTGAATAGATCAAATTTATTCCTAAAAAGCTAAAGATTTCCCGAGTAGTTCCAGTTCAAGATTTTTTTGTATTTTTTAGTTTGTATTTCGAGTGAATCGTTGAACCAATCCATATGTCTTCAGTTTAATCAAAGTAAGCCCTGAGTCCAGCACACTCATAGAATTTTTCTAACGTATATAAGCATTTTTCTACAGATTCCTCAATCTTATCTTATAACAGACAGACGAAAATTTGTTAGTGTGAATAACATGCATTTTGGAAATAGTAGTATTTAATGCCAGCCAAGCTGCAACACATAAAATAGTACGTTCATATGGATGTGGGTTATCTTAACCGTGTAAATGTGAGAGAGAATTAATGTGTAAATGTAGTTTATTTAGTTTTTTTTAATTGTATAAGATTGTTTTGCTTGCTCTTGTGTTTTGACAAAAAATATTGTCTCTCAAGTCAATATGACATAATGGAAAATCATATTAAAATTTTGTCAATGAATGTTCGGGGTCTGTTCTCTAATGTTAAGAAAATATTTGATGTCTTTAACTTGACAAACAAAAAGTTCAATTGTGTCTTTTCAAGACACACACAGTACTAGAGATATTGAAATTTTATGGGGTAATGAATAGGGTGGGGTCATCAGTGTTACTTCTGTCATGGTGATACTAAGTAGTGGAAGTGCTGCAGTTTGTATCATGTTCAGGAGTGGTAATAATTATAAAGTTTATGACTTTCTAATAGACCAGCATAGACGATACATCAAACTAAACCGTACTTTAAATGACCAAAGATTAACTTTGGTATGTTTATATGATTGTAACACAGATAAACCCTAATTTTTCTGTGATATCTTACAAAACATTCTCAATTACGAGTTTCATTTTCTGCGGTGACTAGAATTTAACACAAGATAAGAATGATGATACTTTTAATGTAATGAATGACAGAAACCCCAACAAAAAGGGGCAAAGGATAATGGAAATTTAATTTTAAGCTTTTTAAAGATTCAGCATATGGAGAATTAGTTAGAATTTGCATCAGATATACTGTTTCTGAGTATTTCTCTGGAGTTATTTTGAAAATGTTCTTCATGTTCAGTTATCATGTAGTGATCAGCTATTTTTAGAGATTCTAATAATGTAGATTCAAAGTCTTACCATCTCCTACTGTATTAAAAGTCAAGGGAAGAAAAAGAGATTTTCAAAAGACTTGAGTTGGAGATCCAGTCTTTTATAAACACTGTAAATGTAAACCCTTACTAAATGTGACGTCACTCAATAACAAAAGTGTGAATTAAAGAATAGACAGCCGACCTTAGTTAATGGCCTCATTCTCCGTTCTCGTGCAAATTGGCGCGAGAATGGAGAAAGAGGCACCAAATATTTTTGTAAGTTAGAAAAAGAAAACATTCTTTAAAACAAACGGGACTGCACTCATTAATGACCAAGAAAACCAAATTTCTGATCAATCTATAATATTGTTCAAACAAGAACAGAAACATTGTTTCTTTCGGTTTTGGTTTGTGACCCTGATTTGTTTTGGCTTAATCGATTTTCGACTATTGAACAGCGGCATACTACTGTTGCCTTTATTTAAAGGACACTGTATACATCAAACTCATTCAGCATTGATGAACATTAGTTTTTTAATCATGACACAAAGCTCAGTGAAGAACAAAAACTACTTAATGAGGGAAACTTTTCTTTTAGGGATTGTTAGGAGGCTCTAAAACATATGCAAAATGGAAAGTGTCCTGGATCGGACGGATTTACAGTGGATTTTTTCAAATATTTCTGGAAAGATATTGGTCCTTTTGTTTTCAGTTCTCTGCAATATCGATATGAGTTAGGCCATTTTTCAGATTTTCAGTACCAAAGTATTATTACATGTAGTCCCAAGGAAGGGAAGGATAGGAGATAAATGGATAACTGGCGACCAATAAGCTTTAAGTACGTTAATGAACAGAGATATGAAAATGGCATCTGCAGTTCTTGCTGGTAGATTTAAAAATGTACGGTTTGCTATTATTAGTAACACACAAAAGTGCTTTATGAAAGGGAGATTTATAGGAGAGAGGAGAGAACACTAGACTTCTATATTATCTAATGCACTATCTAGAAAAAAATGATTTAGAGAGATTTTTATTACTAGTAGATTTTGAGAAAGTCTTCGATTCTATAGAATTGGATTTTTTAAAGCAGGCTTTGATCAGTTGTAATTTTGGTCCATCTTTTTGTATATGATTTGAAGTGCTTTATTCATATGCTAAGAGCTGTGTCATGCATAATGGTAATATGTCCAAAATTTTGAACCTTGAAAGAAGCTGTCGCCAAGGGGATCATTGTCTCCCTATTTGTTTATTATTGTCACTGGTGGAATTACTTGCTATACAACTAAACAATGTTTTTTTTGGCAATTTTCGCCAAAAAATACATATTCAAATGCAAACTAGGAGAAAGGCTTCCTAAAGCACTTGAATGGAAAAATATACAGACAAACTTTTATAATATAGAATTACATATTGCAAAAAAAATACAACAGAGTTTTTGCATTTGAAAAACTCTGGGCCCCTATGCAAATTATTTTTTTCTGAATGGTTGTCTTTTTGTCTTATTTATGTAAACAGGACAAACATCATGCAATATATACACAGTACATGTACATATAATTATCTTCTCTATTTTATTACTTATAGATATTTTGCTTTAAATAGATTGTGAAAAAGTTAAATGAAGAGAGAGAGAGAGAGAGAGAGAGAGAGAGAGAGAGAGAGAGAGAGAGAGACATACACATATTTTCAAAAGGTTTATATATGTATTGATATCTTTGTAAAACAATAGTCTTAAGTTTGTTGTTATATTTTTTAAAACCATGTAACACCTTAGTAATGTGGTGGTAAAAGGGTGATGTTAAACCCTGACTATTAAAAAAATGTATTTACCAAAACCAAAAAAAACAGTAATAGTTTTATTCCGTTTTCCGAAAGAAAGAAAATGTAATAAATGACAATTGTTTACCAAAATCAATTGTACATCAAACACTTTTAACCATATTTAAACGTTTAGAATTTTGAATATCATTTTTCTACAGTTAAAATTGTTGTTTTATTCAAAATACAATCTATATAGGAAACCTACGAAAATAATACCACTATATGGAATGATAAAATACAAATGTCTTAAAGTGTTGGGAATATATTCAATTAAATCTTAAAGTACTCAATCAATTTATATTATTAAAAAAGTAATTTCGTTGTATTCCTTTGGATTCACTTTACACCATTACATATTGTTTTTTCATTTTCCTCAATAGAAAATCAAATGCAGCACTGATTATCAGGAATGTTCAAACCGCAGCGTTTGAAATACAAATTTAAACACATTTTGTGTATATGCCAATGGCCGAAGTGAATATCAGTTTTACAAAAGACAATTTAACCACATATTTACCTCACTGAAAGACATTAATTGTTATATTTTATGAATATTCCACGAGAGAAACAAATGTATTTAATGACAACTATTTACCACAACTCAATTGTGCATCAAACATTTTACCATAATTATACATTTAAATCATGTGACGTTTAGCGCGGTGAATATCACTTTTCTTCAATATTGAATAATATACAAATGCTGCCTTTTGATGAGGTAAATATGTGGTTTTTTTGACTTTTGAAAAACTGACATTCACTGAGTCCAACGGCCGAAATATTATTCAGTCTAGTTTTTGTATACTCATTTATAACTGTATGTATCTTGCGTTCATCGTCCTCGTAACGCTCGTCACTCATCGTACATTCATCGTCCGTGTAATGCTGATCAATTAGTATGCGTTAATCCTCCGTGTAACGCTCAACATTCATCGTGAGTGCATCATTCACAGTGCATTTATCATCCATTCACCATTCATTCTCCGTACGTGTATCGTCCATACGTTTATCATGCCTGTCGTCAGTTTGAATTGTATGAGGTCTGTATATAAGTTTGAAAAATGTCAGTATCAACCGTTTTCCAGCTATCTCGAGTATCTATTCGTAATATGTTTTTGCGCATAATAAGAATTTACTTGAAAAAATCATTTAACATCATATTGTTATTTACTTTTGACAAGTAACACATGTGGCAGTCGATGTAAAATTTATATCCTGGTCAGATAGTTTGGCTCAACGGTTAAGATAATATGAGTATATACAAATTTTGTTTTTCATTTATTTTTTTCATATTGTTATTGTATATCTGTATTGGTGTTAGGCATTGGCTGTTTGGGAATAAAGATATATATATATATATATATATATATATATAAATATATAATGAATAGATTTAAGACCCATTTTGATGCTAACGAATTCCTATAGTTCTGACATATCCAAAATATATCTATTCATGTTTGTTTATATTTTAAAACAATCTCCAGAAATATTGATTATACAACATAAATGTGTTTGAAGTAAAACATTTATTATTGTAGGGATGAATATCAACATGAAAAGACTCCAGTACACACAAAAGGAACTGTACAGGTATCATTTTTATCATTGTATTTATAGAAAGGAGAACACTAGTCTACGTTGCACATATTTTGATTTTAAAACGAAATAATGGTAAAAAGGTCTCACAAAAGAGTACATCGATTTAAAACAGCAGATTTCATTAGGTCACAATTTACGCTTGTAACTGTCAAGTATTTGTAAAACGTTTCTTTCTTTTTTAAATAGAATACACAACATCAATCTAATTAAAGCATTTGAACTCTTCAAAATATCCATAGAAAATAAAAAAGGAAGTACCAGGGTAGTTTAATGTTGAAAATACACGCTTATGTGCTGTTGGATAATATTTCTTATGGTCTAATGTTTCTTGTTTAATAAGTCTTTGTATCTGGTCAATGTTTTAATTGAGAGAAGATAATTCAGAGCCGTACATAAGACTGGTAGTTGTTCGACAAATACCCCATACGTCTGTGATGTTTATTGGCATATGAATTCTTTTAAAGGTGTGGAATCAATACAAGTCGAGGTCAGCCATGGTCCTGTTATATTCCTTATACAAAACAAACGTATTGTACGTTCATGCAGAACCACTTTTGTTGGACTAACAATCCCTGCGAGTTCTCTCCGCCAAGAAGTCAATTGCATGTTTTCAATTTTCTAATGACTTGATTGGAATATTTTGATCATAAATGTTTAGTTCATAAGTTATGAATTTAAAGTAAGGTTTCAGAATTTAAATGCAATACGTTTTCTGTTGAAGACCATTAGATTTGGATGATTAACTTTTTTACTTTAATTTGTGTTCCGTAACGTTATGTCTGTAGAACATTTTACAGTACCTGATTTAGCATGTGCTGTTCTCATAGATCATTTTTGTAGAGAAAGAACACTTTTTTATTTTATCATTTGATACTATGAAGTTGATTCAAAAATTAAAAAAAAAAAAGAATTTCAGAGCATGATATAACCAACATGAAAAGGGCAAAAACTCTACATGAAATGATGATACGACACATCGTAATTCTATCTTATTTACATTAAGTTGATATATAAGATACCAGAAAATACAAGTATGTTTTATTTAAAGGCTTTGGTGAAGCAATAGAATTCTGGAAACTCATAAAGGTTACCCCATTAGTCAGCTGTCTTCAATTTTATTTCTGTAACACAAATGTGAAATGTAAAAATCGGGAAGTTTATGAGTGACGAAAAGTTTGAAATTCAACGTGTAGCTATAATCATTGAAGGAAAAATGTACTTTTTGTTCACAAGTTACAAATTAGCAGTTTGATACAGCTTTCCCAGTGAGAAACATTGAGAAATTACGTTAACATTCGATTATTTTGTACAACAAGTTGGATTTCATTTCATATCCATGCTATTTGTATATGTGATAACCCCAAGGTTGTCACTCTTTTCAAATTGAGGATTCATTTGTCTTTGACAATGTTTGAGGTCGTATAAAATTCACGAACGTAAATAAATGAAAATGTATATCAGAGTACCTCAAACTGTGACAATTATTATATTTTTATTACACATTTGACAATTTAAATTGGTTTTGATGAATGTTACTTTATGCTTTCCTTTTTACTTGTAAGCAAACACCATGGGTTGATTTGGATAGCGATGACGAAGAGAAACTGGATTATGGGGAAAACAAAGCTATGGTATGCCAAAATGGTGTTCGCGATGAAGAAGAATTGATACAAATAAATGAAGATCATGAGGTAAAATATATTTGAACACCAATTAATGACATAAAAAATAATCCATTTAAAAAAGACCATTTACAGCCAGTATGGTTAAAGATATACTTACAATGTAACATATTACTAATAAACCGATTACTTATTTCTTTACTGCATTTTATTTTGATAGAAAAAACATATTTTTGGTTTTTGTGGTTTGGTTGTTTGTATCAATCAGTGTTGTTTTAAATAGTTAGTTTACTGAACATTTATTTTCGTGACTGTAACATCGGTATGATAATGCTGTCTCTGCATTCAGCATTTCAGCGACTTTAATATATTCATGCAATTATAAATGTTGCGTGAGCACATTTTTACGGAACGTCAAAATTGTCCTATTATGCCCATTTTAATAATATGATGTGCATTTACCTTTATATGATGTGCACTTATCTTTATATGATGTGCAAACACCTTTATACGATGTGCAAATATCCTTATATGATGTGCAAATATCCTTATATGATGTGCAAACATCCTTATATGATATGCAAATATACTTATATGATGTGCAAATATACTTATATGTTGTGCATAAATCCTTATATGATGTGCAAATATCCTTATTTGTTAATAGTGAACAAAAAGGTAAAACATGATACACAGAAGAGCAAGTGATCAGTATGCTGCAGTTTCTTTTTGACAACATATTTGTGGAATTTGGAGGTAGACTATTTCAACAAATTGTCGGCATTCCTATGGGAACGAACTGTGCGCCTCTACTTGCCGACCTCTTCTTATTTTCATATGGAGTCGGAGTTCCTTCAGACACTTGTCAAAAACAAGAAGATCAAAGAAGTGAGATCATTTAATTTCACATTCAGATATAATGATGATGTTCTTTCCATTAACAATCCAAATTTTTCTGATTGGGTTCCATTAATATATTCTCTAGAACTAGAAATTAAAGAAACAACAGACACTGCTTTTTCTATCTCATTTCTAGACTTATACCTCGAGTTTGACATAAGCGGTCATCTCAGTACCATAATCTATGACAAACGAGACGATTTTAATGTTGAAATTATCAATTTTCCCCTCCATAGTAGCAATATACCAACTTCACCTGCATATGGAATATACATTTCCCAACTCATTCGGTATCAAGAGCTTGCAGCTGCTACTCAGACTTTGTAAAACGTCACCAGTGTCTAAGCAGAAAGTTAATGAACCAAGGGTGTGTCAAAGAACGTCTCGTCCTTTTTCTAAAAAAAGTTCATCGTAAGATACCAAGACCTTGTTGATAAATATTCCGTATCAACTTCACAAATAATACACGATGGTCTTGAAGTATAGATTCTAGGTACTGACGTTGTTTATCATCTTAATAACGTGTTATAGTATTATTTTATTTGTCTATGTAATTTATTACTTTTACTGTTTAGCCTATTTGTGGCAGTATCCATTTGACGTGGCTCGGTACTTGTACATCCCGTCAATGTGTTGTTGTGCTATGATAAATTTTTGTATTCTTGTCTTTCGTTTTTGCTAATGTGCGTTGTCAGTATGCTTTTTTATTTGTCTTTGTTGACATATTTGCTTGTTTTGTAGTGATTCATTTGACGTGGCTCGGTACTTGTACATCCCGTCATTGTGTTGTTGTGCTATTGTAACCTTTTCGTTTTTGCTAATGTGCTTTGTCTATATGCCTTTTTGTTTTTCTTTTTTGACATATTTGCTTGTTTTTGTAGTGATTAAGATTATAACACAATTTGACTGCTGTACCCCTAATTTTGAATTTTTTACCTATTGTGTCTGTTTGTTTTGTTCACACATCGTTGTCAATATGATGGAATTGTATGCGACTGTGAGAGGTTTAGCTAGCTATAAAACCAGGTTTAATACACCATTTTCTACATAAGAAAATGCCTGTACCAAGTCAGGAATATGACAGTTGTTGTCCATTCGTTTGATGTGTTTGAACTTTGATTTTGCCACTTGCTAAGGGACTTTCCGTTTAGAATTTTCTTCGGAGTTCGGTATTTTTGTTATTTAACTTTTTATATGATGTGCATTTTATCTTATATTATGTGCAAACATCATTATATGATGCGGTTGTGTCATTATATTATGTGCTTGTAACATTACATGATGTGGTTCGGTTTACTTCATTATATGATGTCAAAACGTCCGTATATGATGTGCTTTCATCGTTGTTATGGTCAATGGACATGATTACGATTAGAACGATTACCGACTACGTCATAACTGATTCCGATCTGCTTCTCTGGAAATATTATAAAGCTGGCTCAAATCTGTAGCTATCATTTGGAAAATGGTTGAGATTTTAAAAGGGATAAACATTGGCACGTTGATAACTCGTTTCAAAGATGAAAAAATCACATCTTATATAATTGTTGGAAAATTGTCAAAAAATGAATTGCAAAGTTTGGGCTTAATCGATGGGTGTACAATAATGAACACACGGTTGAAGTTATTAAACTATGGGTCCTTGACTTTTTATTGAGCATCTGGAGTTCACATATTTGATCTACCATAGGATATTCTGCGTTTTTTTAATGCAAGATTACTGTTTATGATCTAGCAGCTCCAGACTCGGTATGAAAACTGACAATTCTAGTCAATTAAGATTAGAGTCGAGCTTACCTGCCTTCTTGTGCGGGATTCAAACTTACAACCTAAGTGTTGACAGGCTAGTGATACAGTAGTTTGACTATTTAGACCACTTGGACCCGTTATGGATGAAATGAGATATGGGATGAACTTCAACTCGGTGCATTACTTTTGCGCACAGCTTTTAATTACATTTTCGTGCATTTCGTCTACAGATTCAACTAGATCGCCGCAACATAAAAGGTTTCGTGGAAATCCGCTCATATATACACCTCCAGACTCAAGATCTATAAACAGGGCTAAGGTACCGGACATTTTTTTTGGGGGGAGGGGCATGCTTTTTCATTTGTTTGATTCCAATTTTTTTGAAAAATACATTATTTGTATCAGAAGGGAAGCAAAGAAAATAGTTTGTTTCCATTGAAAATGTCTTTTCAATTTAGAGGCGGCTTCTTCTTTAAGAAGTTGATACGTAAATTTCAAGTATGTTCATTTTTTGTAAATGTTGCCTTGCTGATCATTTAAGCTGTTCAAGTTTCTCTTTATATATTTTTTTCTCTCAAGATATTAGTAAAAAAAAAACACAAAAATGGGCGGAAATCGGACATTTAAAAAGTAATGACTCCTGAAAGGGACCGGTCATTTGTGACCCTTAAAAGAGGGGATAGGAGGAAATTAAGGGGACATTGACATTTTTTTTAAATGGATAGGTGTATTCAATTTTTTATATTTAAACAAATGCGGCCGTATAAAGGTATGACGATGTCGTCGTCGTCCGAAGACATTTGGTTTCCATAGAATAACTTGAGTATAAGTTTATAGATCTCTATCAAATTGTACTACAAGATTCCATTTTACAAAAAGGAAGTTTGGGATTGATTTTTGGGGTTATTGTTTTAACTGTTAAGAAATTAGGGGACAAACAGGGGACAACAAGCATTTTTCTTTTTTTTTAGGACAATCACTTGTGTATAAGTGTATAGACCTCTATGAAATTGTACCAGAAGGTTTCATATCAAAAAATGAAGTTTGAGATTAATTTTTGTGGGTAATGGCCTTAACTGTTAAGGAATTAGGGGCCAAAAACAATTATGTTCGAATACTGTATGAATTGCTTATTTCTTGACCAATTTCAATGGGATTTAATTCAAAGTCTTGAATTCTTGGGGATCTTTAATATTCTGAGTCTACAAATTCTGCTATGATATACATAGAACTAGGAAGACTTCCAATGATTGTTAAAAAAAAATCAAATTTGTAAATATTGGTTCAAAATCAAATCAACAATTAACTGTATTTTAAGCTACATATATAAAGAAATGTGTATCGATATTTATCAAAAACGTTCAAAATCTGTAAATTGGACAAAAGTAATTAGAGATGAACTTAACAACATTGGACTTAGAGATATGTGTTTTAAATAGTCAGAGCTCGTATTTGAGATTGATTTTTATCTTATTAAAAACGACTATTAGATACTAAAAACAGGAGTTGTATTCTTTAATTGAAAGCAGTAGTAAGTATCGTATCTATAAATACATTATAAACACCTTTAATTTACTATTTCATTTTACGAAGTATATTCCTACTGTGTACCGGAGAGCACTTTCTAAAATAAGACTTTCTTCTCATTCGTTAGCAGTTGAAACATTGAGTTGTCTTGTCGTATATGTACAATTTACCGTCAGTGTATTGAAGACGAATTCCATTTCATCTTAGTGTGTCCGAAATATAAGAATTAAGAGTAAAATTAACCAAGAAATATTACTGGTCTAGGCCAAGTATGTTTAGATTTATTGAACTTTTATGTATAAAGAACATCAAACAGTTAACCAATTTAGGAAAATACATTTTTACTGTATTTAAAATCAGAGACAATATTATAACATGAACATTCTCTGTCTGTTTACATGTTTACTTTGAAATTTTATATTGACACCGATGAACTGTAAAGGTTATAAAGAATTTGAATTTGAATCTAAACGTGTAATTAGATTTTTGATTGTGGACCCCTTTTTAAATTGGTCCGATATTGAGGTCCAATGGGTCAACAATGTATCTTTGTTTGAATGCATTGACAATTGAATTATTTAGGTTCCTTGACATGCCGAATCTAACCGTGAATTTAGATTTTTTATTTTGAGCCCCGCTTTCAAATTGGTCCACATTAAGTTCCAAAGGGTTCAAATTAAACTTTGTTTAATTTTATCAAATATAGAATTATTGTGGTTCTTTGATATGCCGAATCTAACCGTGTATCTAGATTTTTTATTTTGGGCCCCGTTTTCAAATTGGTCCACATTAAGGTCCAAAAGGTCCAAATAAAACTTTGTTTGATTTCAACAAAAATTAAATTCTTAGGGTTCTTTGATATGCTGAATCTTACCATATATTTAGATTTTGGG